TATCAGAGATTCCGTGTCCTCCTACACAAGGTTAAAAGCGAACACAGTAGAAATTACAATCTGACCTCCCTTCTAGTACAAGGAAGTAACAATTCTTCCCAGAAAGCGATCTACCATTTTTTGGCCTCTGCTTCACAATAGCTAATTTTTCAGAAGGCTAGCTTGAAACACGTTCAGGATTCTTGCTATAACCATCGGAGGAAACCGGTTTCGTAGGTCACTTCCATGGCAGCTCAGCTACTGGAAGATCTCAGCATGGTAGCTATTACGCTCAAATGGGGATCTTTGCTGCATGGTCCAATGTTAGCTCCCTCCCCTCAAAAAATGCCCTCACCCTCATGCATTTTGTTATTGCATACGTTGACAAAAATAGGGGCTTTTTTCTTCCTTTGGGGAGACCTGCCGAGTCCTATGTGGTAACGTAATACCAACCTTACTGTATGTTTGTGAAACATGGACCACTTATAAACACCATCTCCAACTCCTCAAAAGATTCCATCAACAGTGTCTCTGGAAATTTTTACACATCACTTGGGAAGACAGGCAAACTAATGCCAGTATACTGGAAGAAGCAAAGATCACCAGTGTCGAAGCAATGATTCTTCAACATCAACTTTGTTGGACTGGTCATGTTGTTCGGAAGCCTGATTATCATCTTCCAAACCAACTGCTCTATTCTGAACTTAAAAATGGAAAGAGTAATGCTGGTGGTCAACAAAAGAGGTTTAAAGACTCTCTCAAGGCAAATCTTAGAAAATGTAGTATAAACACCGACAACTGGGAAAACACTGGCCTGCGAGCGCTCCAGTTGGAGAACAGCCTTTACCAAAGGTGTCATGGGCTTTGAAGATGCTTGAACTCAGGACAAAAGGGAGAAAGCTAGGAGGAAGGCAAGCTTGGCAAACCCTCACCGTGATCAACTCCCGCCTGGAAACCTTTGTTCCTACTGTGGAAGAACGTGTGGATCCAGAATTGGCCTCCACTGTCACTTACTGTTAAAACCATGTTCATGGAAGACAATCTTACTCAGCTCTGAGTGATCGCCAAAGAAGAAGAAGAAGAAGAAGGTAACGTAATACAATGCAGTTTGCAGAACACATGATGACAGTGAGATTTTAAAGATTCTGGCAGAAGGTACCAGAAGGCACTGGAGTTGAATTCCACAAAAGTCCAAAAGCATCAAGTCTCTTTCATGTTCAGCCCCACACAATTTCTTTTTGCTCTGGTTACCATGAGAGGTCTGCCGCTGACTTCAGTAGCATACCCAAGAACATTTATCAATGAAAATAGGGATGTCTTATTCTGTAATAATAATGATGATGTTGATGATGATAATACTCTGGGCAGCCTCCAATGCATATAAAAACATAATGAAGTTATATAGCGCTGCCTTCAGATGTCTTCCAAAGGTTGTCTAGTTACTTATCTCCTTGGCTCTGGGGTTCACATAACTCCATCCCCTCCACAATTTCTCCAATGAAAATAGGGACATCCGAAAGGAAAAGTGGAACCTTCTGGGATTGAATCAAAAACTGGGATGGCTTCTGTAAATTCGGGATGTCCCTGGAAAAAGGGCACTTGGAGGGTCTGTGAAATATATTCGGAGTCGAGAGTGGATTTCATGCTCTTTATTCAGCTCATAGTGGTGAGGAGGAATGGAAGTTCCCCCAGAACGTCTGCTTTATATACATTATTTACACAATGGGCCCCACATGATTGGCTAATTCCGGGATTCTCCTGTAGGCCAATCAGGTTGTGGATTCACTTCCACCTGGAGCTGAATTGGGTGGCTCCTGTGGACCAATCAGACTGCTGCATTCTGAATCCTATTGTTCTAGGACCAATCATACTGCTGCATTTTGGATCCTATTCAACTCAGTACATAACAGTCTGCAATAGTATGTAGACTGTACCCATCATGGAAAGTGCAGGCAACTTTTTATCTGTCCAGGGCTACATTCATTTCGTGGTAACTTGTCGGAGGCCATGTGGTTGTGGTGGATTGATGAGCCAAAGGCAGCAGTGGCGAAGGGATCTTTTCCCTCTTTCTGCCCCTCTCTCTGCTACCCACTGATTTCTCTTTTTCCTTTTTTTGCCCAGTGGGATGCAAGAAGCGGGACAGATCACCTTCGCAATAGGTCTGAACTGACAGTATACCCAGGGCAGTGTTAGAAACTGTGATATGAAAACTAGGAGCTACATGGCACCTTAAACCTAAGTTATGGGTGCTGCAATGGAATATCTAGGTGCGCTTTTTTAATAACAAGAATACAAAGCTGAAAATGAATGAACTGCAGCTAAAATCATTTTTGCACATGGTCTAGTCCTTCCCCTGCCTACCCCACTGATATTCTTAAGAGGGTCTCTTCTCCAGTCTTCAGAGAGTGGCTGGAAGTGGAGAGGCAGAAAAAGGTCTTCCTTTCATTCCGGCAGTGGCAGTTAAATATTAGGTGCAGTACTGCGTCCAGAGCTCAGAAACTGCTCAAGTGGATGAAATTCCCGGTCGCAAAATCTGCCTAGAACAATGGGAAAACTGACTTGCGAAATTAGGTCAAGGATCAGAGGCTGCCCTCCTGTGTGGCCAAAATAATCCAAATATTATGTTAAGAAAAGCTGAATTCTGCAACCTGTATCCATTACGCAAATTAGTCAAACAACTCAATCGTGTTCAAATATGCTTTTATCGGGATACTTTGTTGTAGTTCATGGGAAGGAGACAAGGAGCTATGCAAGACGTTGAAATCCCAGCAAGCAACTCATGGCATTCCTTCTACTTTCCGAGATTTCGGCAGATTATCCATTTGAAATTGTCTTCACAGCCATAATGAGGAAAGGCTTGTTTGTTTCCAAAGGCAAGATTTTGAGTTGCGCCCTCAATGTCACATTTTGGGGATTCTATTCTTAGAATCCAAAAGAAGACTGACAATTCCTTTCGGATTCTGCAGAACAGGCTTTTACAAAAAAAAAATACATCTCTTTACATAAAGACGTACCTCCCTTTGCAACCTTTTAAATAAATAATAATAAGAAGAAGAGTTTGGATTTGATATCCCGCCTTTCACTCCCTTTAAGGAGTCTCAAAGTGGCTAACATTCTCCTTTCCCTTCCTCCCCCACAACAAACACTCTGTGAGGTGAGTGGGGCTGAGAGACTTCAGAGAAGTGTGACTGGCCCAAGGTCACCCAGCAGCTGCATGTGGAGGAGCGGAGACGCGAACCCGGTTCACCACATAACGAGTCTACCGCTCTTAACCACTACACCACACTGGCTGCAGCCTTTCAAAATGACACTTCCTACAAATGTAGCCATACGACACATTCTGATAAGACTATCTGAAGGTTTATCTCCCTCCTCTGAAATTTTCAAGCCATAAAAGGCGCTTTTTCTTTCTTCCTAAGGTACAACCATCAACCATCGCAACAGAGGTTATTCAGCCATCTTGATTCTGCAGTCATATTTAGCAAGCTTTTAAATTATGACAGCCATGTGCTTATGTAGAAATTCAGTTTAAAACTATTTTGCTTTCTCAGAAAAATTAAACGTAGATTGTATCAGTGTTTGAAACTGGGATAGAAAAGCTAGGAGCCAAATGGCTCCTGGGACCTGGGTTGTAGGCGCCAAAACAGAATGTCTAGTCGCCATTTTGGGGGGGGGGAGGTGTCCGGAAACACTTTTTATATATTATTTTGATAAGCATGAACTAATATGCAATTCACATAAGTGACACATTGTTAATATCACAATTTAAGCAAAAATTGTTAGTACATGTTTAATTTGGTGTTTACAATAAAAATACTGGTACCAAACTTCAGTATTCAAAACACTGCTTTCTATTGTTAAACCCCTTAACATATTGCCTACCCTTAAGATATACAGTACTTCCAGGCTTCAAAGCACACACATTTCAGTAATCCTTTAGCATCAACCAGGCACAAAAAAATGGCACCCAGACTTTTTGAGTCATTCGCTAATGGAGAATCTTTAGGTGCAAAATGTGGTTGGCATCCTGCTAATTCTAAACCCTGGTTTGTATTATCTTATTATGTAGCTAAGGTATTTATCTTATTTTCAGAAACAAATCCCACCTACTTTCAGCAGCCAGAAACACTATAACCAGACACTGGAGAGACCTGTCAGGAGTAAGCATGGACCAATGGTACCAAATAGTATGGGAAACAGCCCTACTAGAAAAATTAACTAATAAACTGAAACTGACACGGGGACAAACAGAAGAAGACGCTCCCCTTTATCACATACACAGCCCAACGAGACAATGACAATAATCCACCAACAGCATACAAATCAATATGGCTAACCTGATCCAAAACACCCACCCACCCCACTCACACACGAAAACAAAGACCACCACAGCCAACCACAAGTGAACAGCCACACCCTAGGCCAACCCCAACCTCTCTCACCACCAAGGGAACACAAGTGAACAGCACGAGCAACGCTGACACCAAACCCTACATACATTGAGCATAATAGAAACATCGCCACCCGCCCCCACCCCTGCCCCCACCCATCTTCCCTCCCTCCACCCCCTTTTTTTCCCCTCCCCCTAATGTCTCAACAAATGAAACGGATTTGTAAAAATGTTACATGGAAAAAATACGAGAGACATTACACTTACTTCTGTAAAACAAGAAAATCTTTAATTTAAAAAAAACACCAAGAAAAAAAAAGAAACAAATCCTACTGAATGGAGCATAACTTTGGGCTCATCCCCTTTTCTCTTTCCCTGCTGCTTTCCTCGGGGGGGGGGGACGGGACGGGACACTCTTTAGCAATCAATCAGAGCAAAAGGGAATCTGGGTTTTGTCCAGATTGACATTTGCTCTGATTTAACAGCCAAGAGTGGGTTTTCCCTGGGAAAGGAGCAGGGCAAGGGAAAATCTGCTCAGGCCCGTGCTTTATCGGCACAAGAAAAGTGGAAGTGTGAACGAACTCTTACTTCCAAGGACATAGGAAAGGACTGAGCTGATTACACAGAGAGATAGCTCAGTCAGTACAGCATGAGACTCTTAATCTCAGGGTTATGGGTTCAAATCCCGAACTGGGCAAAATATTGTGCCAAGCAGGGGGTCTGTCAATGGGCTAGCTTCCATGGCAACACTGCCATTGGACCAATCACAACACTTTACCCCAAAAAAATGAATTGAGAGAGAGGCAGAACTGAAAGTAAAGAGAAGCTGGAGTGTTTCAATTTTAACATGAGAGAGCATAAAGCATATGTTCCAAAAATCTTGTGGAAATGTACAAGCACTTTTGACTGATGAAGGTTAAGTTCATACAACAGCCACTTTTTGAAATCTTCAAGGAACATGTTAAGAGTCTGAATGCATTTTAAGGAAATGCTTGATAGTGAAAATTGGATTCCAAAGAACTCTTTCATGTACTTACGAATTTACATCCTATGCCCTTTTAAAATGTGTTTTTTGGGGGAGGCTATTGGGTTGTTGTTTTTATTTTTATTAGGTATTTTGTGGTTTTATTTTTGTGGTTTTATATCTTTATTTTATTCTGTGAACTGCCCTGAGACCCCTGGGTATAGGGCAGTATAATGATAATGATAATGATAATGATAATAATAATTAATGTGTTTTTAATTTTCAAGTGGAAAGTTTTGGTTTTTTCTCCAGTATCAGTGCTATTTATTTTTACTCGTTAATGCAGAATACATACTTCTGATTCCAAAATTGTAACTGAAAACACTGAGTACGCTCGCTGTTTCAGGATACATAGGGCTCTGACTGTTTACTCCTGAGTAACTCTCTATAGACTCTATAAGGCGCCCTTGATGTTTGGGACAACAACTCCAATAATCTCTGAGCATTGGAAACGTTGGCTGGTGCAGAAGAGAGTTGGAAAGTCCTTAACAATGTCATACTCTCCAGCACCTCTCCGATTAAAATAGGGACATCCTCTCTGAAAGGCAATAGACTCCCCACCCCTGGCCTAGAGGTTTCTAAAATGCTGTTTGGATTCATGTATTTGAGAATCATGTCCTTAGGCTTAAGGGGGGTTCAGCTCTTCTTTCACTTTAAGCTATATAGAGTAAAGAACCAGAGTACAGAAGCAAAAACGGGGACTTATTCCACAGTGTTAATAATTCACATCTGGGGGAAAACACTTAAGAGTTAGCTCATTATAAGAGCAACCAGATGAAGACTAGTGCTGTGGGACAACACCTGCTTCTCGGCTGTTCTCTTAGAAATCAAATGAGGCTTGTCGTCTTCAAAACTACTCAGAGGATCACTGAGCCATCCTAAGACTTCAAGGGCCAAAGAAAACAGCAGCCTCTTTTGATATGCCAGGTGGAAATGAGAGTGCAAGGTAGCATTGCATGGAACCGGGGACAGCACAAAACACATATTTTGCAGGAGGTCAGTGCAATGCAAACATGATTTCATTTCTGCTGTGGTCTGAAGTAGAGCTTTTGAACCACATGCAGCTACTATCTTAGAGGTAAAAGTGTCCTTATTAAAATCTTTTTATATATTATTTTTTGTTTCGTTTTACAATTTAAAATACTCCTTTTACATCCTTAAGATATCAATGACTTCTTTTCTTCTCCTTCCATGGGTCGTTTTACATACCATAAATCCCTGCATATTTTACAAAAACTATACCATTATTGCATCCATCAAAACTTATTAACGCTGTTGAATTTATCTTAATGCCGCCTACGTTTTCAGCTGTACACAGTTATTTCCCATATATTCAATAAACGTCTTCCAATCTTCTTTAAACTTATGTTCTTCTTGTTTTAAAATTATTCTACATGTTAAGGCTGCGAGTTGTGCATATTCTGACAACTTAAGCTGCCATTCTTCTTTGGTTGGGACCTCGCTTGTTTTCCATTTTTTGAGCTAACAAAACACGGGCTGTAGTAGTGGCCTATGTATATAACCTTTTTAGACACCCGGGAATTCCCAGGGTCCTTATTAAAATCTTCCACAGAAGCTGCAGGGTTCACTCTTGATAAGATTAGCAGGGAAGCACTTATTTTGGTAAGATGTGATCTCAGTACCTTGGGAAGGAGACAGTGCACTGCACCGACTCTGTTAGGTATGCTGTCTAGTTTGTACATTACATGCTCCTTTTGTTCCTTTAATGGGAGCTTCCCCACCCTGCAAATAGCAGCTGTGGAGCCCGCAGTCCAGACTAAGACTGCAACAGGAGGTAAAGTGTTAATGGCCCCCCTACAACCCATGTGAAGGTCCTCCTGCTGACTATTTGTGAAAGAAAAATACTGTGTTCAAGGTCAAAGGTACACACATACCCACCAAGGGTCCTGGGAAAAACAGGACATCCCATTTTTATTTTTATTTTACGTGAGATTGCCTTGGCCATTTTGGGCGATGCTATCTCTTGCGCTTGCATGCTGCAATCTCTCCCCGAAAAGGTGTTGCCCCCCCCAGTGCCACGATCTTGCGCAGCACCCAGAAACACGGGTTTTGGGACACCATGCAAGATCACGCCCCCCAAAATGTGCTTTGGGGGGGTAGATCTCAGTGTTGGGATGCGGGTGGCGCTGTGGGTTAAACCACTGAGCCTAAGACTTGCTGATCAGAAGGTCGGCGATTTGTTTTTTTTTGTTTTTTTAATAATTTTTATTAAAGTTTAAAACAACATAACAAAAAAAAAACCAGAAAAACTCACATAAAAATAATACAAAA